ATATTTTCTGTGAAAATTTTTCAGACATTCAGGCCAGTAAATGTTGTTTAATACTGTTTATTATAAACAGAGCATTTACTTCAATATTTGTATCTATAAAAATAAAATGTCTTAATATATATATATATATATATATATATATATATATATATATATATAAAAGGAAAATTATATAAATATTATACTTTATTATATAAATTAATTTAATATATTAATAAAATAAAATATATATTAATATAAATTAAACAATATAAAATATTAAAAAAATAAGATATTAATAATAAAATCAATTTAATATATAAATTGTATAAGGATTATATATAAAGGAAGCATATACATTTTCTATTCCTAAAATTATCTATTAGTAAAAAATAAAATAAATTTGTTTTTTTTTTTTCATCAAATGGTTATGGGAATTCACTCAAAAGAATTAAGAATAAAAGTGGTCCATGGGTAAAAAATGTTTGAGAACCATTGATTTATATGAACTGAATCTAAAAATGTAAGAAAGTATTAAAACTGAAACTTCTTCATTCATTTACATTAAGCTTGAACTTTTGACTAATCAAATATAAAAAGGGAATTTATTTCCCTTAGAGACATTGAAATTACTAAGATCTTCTCCCAAATATGAAGAAATAAAGCAAAAATTTCCCATTTTCTTGGCTGTAAGCTTTCTAATGTAGATATATTGTATTAGGGAAATAAATATTCTGAATTCAAACTGCAAGAAAAAAAAAAGAATCTGTATTCAGCTTTATGTTTCTGAGCAGTTATTCCCTTAGATGCTAATAGACAAATCAAAATATATAAATATAACTGATTACCATTTAAACATAGTAAAGAAAATCCCTCAATGATGGATTCCTTAATCAAAGTTCACTATTTTGGAAAAAATGAGAATTCAAACCTCAGAAGACTGAAGCAAAAATTCAGTTAAAAAAAAAAATAATAATTAAAATTTTTTCTTTTACTTAACGAACCAAACAATCCTATGTCTAAAGAGTGACCTAATCACAAATTCTTCTACAATAAATTTTCACCCTGGTTCTCACAACATTTCACCATTCCTAGCAGATCTTCTAATATCACAGTGTGGAATACCTACTTACAAAAGCAATGGAAAGAAAAAGAACTCTAAATGAATTTGGTTATATAAAAAAAAATTCTAAAATTCCAAACATCACTCTGTCATGTACATATGTAGTCCTACCAATATAACAAATTTAGTCTGATGAAATCCTGAAGGACGAAACATGTCACAAGTAAACTTTTTCCACTTTGTCATCCAATTCCCCCAATATTTTTCTTGATATATAATAATATATATTGTTATCCTATATATTAAACATAATATTGCACATTGAGTACTGGTATTAATAGTGCTTGATGTAATATAATGGCACTATCATATATATATATATATATATATATACATACACTTATTATAAAACACAGGTTGTGTGTGTGTGTGTCTGTTTCGTTTATATATTGGATCGGATTTCCTACATTTTTCAATCGATTTCAACAAAACTTCACAGGACTACGTAAAATTGCCTTGCGGTGGTTCTGACAGCACCAAAAATTGGAAAAACAATTGTTTTCGCACGAAATCAATTTGAAAACACAATTAAGAGACATTGTTGTCATGAGAATGAAAGGGGGACAACTCATATCATGTTATGCTTATTATAAAACCCAGTTTGTGTGTCTGTGTTCGTTTATATATGGGAGTGGATTTCCTACATTTTTCAACCGATTTCAACAAAACTTCACTTTTTTTTTTTTTGGGTAGTGTTTCTTATTGTCTTGCACACTTTTTTTTTTTATTTTTACATTCAGAATGCTTTAAAAATTCCATTTAAAAGACAACTGTTTATAATAAAATTCTATTCAATCGGTAGACTCATAACGATTGAAAACAATGTTTTTGTTTGGGTTTGAGCAATTCGTAAAAAAAAAAAAAATTAATTAAGACATGCGTGTCCGTCAACCTTAAACAATAATCTTTGTCAATTTTATTTTTCAGTCTTTATGATGGTCGATACTTGATCTATCTCTTACTGTTACATCCTTGGGCAACGCTGGGCTCTACTGCTAGTAAATTATATATTAACAAGTATACATTTTTTTCCTCACCAGTAGCATGACTCAGAGTTTCATGCACAATGCAATCTTCGGAAGAGCTTCTAAATGGATATGTAGTAAATGCATAGAAACCTCAAGGAATCTAAATAAAAGAATGTATGAACACAAAAGGGACATTTTACAAAATAATACATCAAATATGTTGGTTGCCCACCATAACGAGACTGACCACAATTTTGAGACAAAAAATGCTACTCTGATCAAAGGAGAAAATAATTCACTAGAATGTAAATATCGAGTGTGTACTTTAATTGCAAGGTCATCTACAATAAATTTGCACCTTGGTTTTTACATTTCACCATTCCTAGCAGATCTTCTAATATCAATGTAGAATACCTACTTACAAAAGTGATGGAAAGAAAAAGGCTAAATGAATTTGTGCACATCTATATTTCTACCAACATAACAAATTTATTCAGATGAAATCCTGAAGGACGAAACATGTCACAAGTAAACTTTTTCCATTTTGTCATACAATTTCCCCAATACTGTCCTCGATATATAAAAATATATATCACTACCTCATAAATAAATATATATATATCTCACAATATTAAAATATTACTATTAGTAAATTTTTATTTTTTTATATTTGTTTATTAATATAATGTTTGGCTTATATTAAATCCCTAATTTATTTGTGAAGAAGTTAAATATTTAAATTGCTAACAAGCATTCAATTTAATTTCTTTGTGGAGTTTTTAAACATTTAAATTACTATCAAACGTTAAAATCTGTGTTTATCTAAATTGCTAAAGCTATACCACCCCTCTCCTTCTTCCAAAAACTCTATGTACATCTCTTATCCTTTACTTCCCCTTTTTTTCCCATATAATTTCCGTTGAGTTGACCAATTAAATAGGTCAATGTCTGATCCTTACCCCTTCTCCTCAATATTAAGTATTGTAAAATAAAAATAAATTTTAAAACTCTCCCTTCCCTCTCTAAACTCGACCATGTCTCTCTCACTATTCCTCACCACCCTCTATGTCACCTTATATAAGCTTCATACTGTGCTTCAAAAGTGTAAATTATAAATACATTTTTCTTTTCACCTTTGAAAGTGAAGTCTGAAGATCCAGAGAAAAATAAAATTCTCTGGTGAAATAAATTATAACTAATGGAGCCTTAAAGTGGTCTATTTTTTAAAATTAAATTATATATATATATATATATATATATATAAATAACAGTTTGCGAACCATTTCAATAAACAATCTAATAAATAATGTTTATTGTTTTTGTTTTCCATTTTCAAGAACAAACAAAATGTATAAATTCACTTATTTTAATCATTTCACCTCAAGCAAGGCAATAAAGCCACTAGGATGTAAGTGCTAGAGAACATGAGAAAAACTACGTTTAAAGAGAAAGAACAAAAATTAAGAATCAGAAAACAATGCTGGGAGCAAAGAGAGTAATCTCAAACCTTCATTCAGCTTCATCTGCCACACCTGTAGAAGAGAGTGACATGCAAAGATTGGCCTGTTAAGCCACTTCTGATGCTGCTCACAAACAGACTGAATTCTGATCAAACTGGGAACTACTATTATCTCACAAGGTAAACAGATGCCTACCTAAACATTACAAGTAAACATAATTGTAATATTACAAGGTAACATTGCAATGAGTCTAAAACAAACAAAAATGTTTATGCAATCTCTACATAACGTTTCCGAAATGTAGCAACGACAATTTATTAGCTGTGACTTTTAGCATTTTGTACAGGGCTTTCTCTACATATTGGACATTTTTGGTTTTTGGTCCAAATCTTTTGGAAGCTTCTATAATGTAATTGATTAATTTGCCTTCCTAACATATCCTCTACTGATAGACTGGGATTGCTATATTGAAATCTTAACTGTTCTACCATTATCTCAGCATACAGATGCTTAGATACTGTATGGTACAATGACAAGTGTCAAAAATTGACTGGTGATCTAATTTATATTTCTAAAGAACAAAATATATTTTCATGTTAAAACAATGCGATACCATGAATTATCTGGTTGGTGTCACTTATGGTGTATATGTTGGGAGATCTGCATCACCAATGATGTCCTCCCTAGAACATCTCTCTCCAGCATCAAGGCTACCATCCTTCAACATTGCCCTTGCTGGATAGGTCTCTGTTGAGTAGGTCATGTGTCCTGAATATTTCTCACTTATCATCCTGTTTGGAGAGCTTGCCAGGCTACACGGAGATCCAAAATGACATTTCATGGATCAGTTGAGGACATCCCTGACCAGGCCAACTGTTGCTGCAAATCAGCCTTCATCGTGTTGGACCATTCAGGGGATGAGCCTGAGACTTTTGAGTTCACCTGTCAACATGAAGAGGATCTGCAATATGTTGTCAGGAGGGCTCGACTCATCCAGCTGCATCCACTAGCCACAGTCCTGTGATTCCTGCTCATGATTCTAGCTGGGCTTTCACAACCATCAACACCAGAGGGGAGAAAGGGAATAAGGGGAGAGGATGTCGATCTCAATGCTCAGATGCAAGTGGGTGCCAATGACAATGATTCAGTTCTGACTGAAAACTTTTTGCTATTTTGTGCAAATATTCAAATAATCCATACATATACATATCTCGAGATAACACTCTCCAGCCTGCAATTGATTGATTTGTTTTTTATGGCTTTTCAACTCTTTGTAGATTACTTAAAGCCAGAAAATATTTTTAGATTGTAAGAAATTTTTCTTCTGGAGATAACGATTTAGTGATACAAGTTTTACTAATTAACCCATAGCTGGGCACTTTTCCCAAAGATATTTGCCCATAAGTGAATATAACAAACCCAAATAGAATTGGAACTATTATCCATTACACCACTCACACATCCAAGCTTATAGCATCTAGTATTCCCAACTGGTCACCCAACTGTGTACTGGCCAGGTTCAATGTCGCTTAACTTCAGTGATCATACGGAAACCAGTGTTTTATCATGATATGGATGTAAAGCCTTTAAATATTTTGTTAATTTAACTTCAGTTGCAGTAACAGATTCACATGCTTGTATAAATCATAGGCATGTGAAATAAAACTATCATTAAAATATGGAACATGTATCAGTACAAGATTTTAAAATACAGCAATATAGAAATGCTGAGCCACATACTTCAATTTGAATTCTCTGAAAATGTTAACCAACACATTTCCCTTGAATACAGTCTCTAACTAGTATGTTTGTATGTGTCTTTATGTAAGTGAACTCCGTGAAACTATGGAAATATACACTTCACATATGATTTTCTGCCAGTTTTAATGTGTATAAACATGAGCTGTCTGAAAATGCTGAATTTCATGTTTAACATGAAAATTGTTTCTTAATAGAATGTGTTTCCAAGTGTCTTTTCAAATTTGAGCTCTGTGAAAATGCTGAACCACATACTTCACATGAATATTATTTCTCTCTTGTATGTGTCCACATGTGAGTTCTTAAACTTGAGCTATGGGAAAAGGGTGAGCCACATATCGTACATGAATATGTTTTCTCTCCAGCATGTAACCTCATGTGGTATTTTAAACCTGTACTGTGTGAAAATGCTGAATGACACAATTTACATGAATAGGGTTTCTCACCAGTATGTGTTCGCATGTGAGCTTTTAAATTTGAACTTTTTGTAAATGCTGAGCCACATACTTCACATGAATATGGTTTTTCTCCAGTATGTATTCGTCTATGGCTTTTCAAATCTGAGCTCCATGAAAATGCAAACTGACATACTTCACAGGAATAAGGTTTCTCACCAGTATGAGTTCGCATATGAGATTTTAAACTTGAATTCTCTGTAAATGTTGAGCCACACACTTCACAAGAATATGGTTTCTCTCCAGCATGGGTCCGCATGTGTGAATTTAAAGTTGATTTCTCTGAAAATGCTGAACTACACACATGACAGGAATGTGGTTTTTCTCCAGTATGTTGTGTTCGTATATGTCTTTTTAAAGCTGAGCACCAGGAAAATTCAATTCCACATACTTCACATGAAAAGGGTTTTTCACCAGTATGAGTTCGCATGTGAGATTTTACATCTGATTTCCTTGTAAATGTGGAGCCACACACTTCACATGAATATGGTTTCTCACCAGTATGTGTCCTCATGTGCAATTTTAAACTTGGTTTCTCTGAAAATGCTGAACTACACACTTGACATGAATGTGGTTTTTCTCCAGTATGTGTTCGAATATGTCTTTTTAAAGCTGAGCACCAGGAAAATTCAATTCCACATACTTCACATGAAAAGGGTTTTTCACCAGTATGAGTTTGCATGTGGGATTTTACATCTGATTTCCTTGTAAATGTGGTGCCACACACTTTACACGAATATGGTTTCTCACCAGTATGAGTCCTCATGTGCAATTTTAAATTTGGTTTCTGTGAAAATGCTGAGCTACACACTTCACATGAATATGGTTTTTCTCCAGTATGTATTTGTATGTGTCTTTTTAAAGCTGAGCACGAGGAAAATGCAATTCCACATATTTCACATGTATAGTGTTTTTCACCAGTATGAGTTTGCATGTGAGATTTTAAAGTTGAATTTTGTGTAAATTTTGAGCCATACACTCCACATGAATTTGGCTTCCCAGCAGCATGTGACTGCATGTGTGTTTTAAAACTTGATTTCTTGGAAAATGCGATCACACATACTTTCTCAAAAGTATGTGCCTGTATGTTATCTTTTACAAGTACACTTTGTGAAATTTTCACTCAATATTCTTCACATGTATACTTCCATGACAACTGCTTCACATATTGGAGATCTGAAGAAAAAGATATATATTTTAGTGTTTTTCTTTAATGTATGTAAGTATAATACTCTAAAATAAAAATAATCATCTTTAAAAAGTTTTTGTGCTGTTTTGTAAGTTTAGAGATTTTTATATATATTAGTGCATAAAACAGCAGAAAGAGAAACATTATTTGAAATAAAATGATATGATATTGTGTTGTATAGAGCCATACACATTGAATTGATTAACAATTTTCATAAGTATCATTTTTTTTTTGAGGAAATGAGAGAGAATGAGTGTCAATTTTTAATTTTTTTTTTTAGGCGTATAAACATACTGATCTTTCTAAATACAGATGTCATTATACAACATTATTATTATTAGAAAATAAGAGTGATAACTATAGTAAATTTAAATTTAAAGCTAAAATTCAATAAAACATTAGATTATGTAGAATATTTTCTAATTTTTCAAAATGACTGAGTACTTAAAAATTATATAAAAAAGGTACTCACATTATATGCCACAATTATTTTTTATAGATATATGAACTGTAGAAAAATAGATAAACTTCCATCTGTCATTCAAGTTGTCAACACCTTTAGCAACAACTGCCATGTTAAAAAAAACACTTTTCTGCAATATTTTAAACTTAAAGTAACATTTGTCTCAAAATCAAATTAATTAAACTTTAAATCAGGTAATATTCCTCAAATAAAATTTCAGAAAAATATGTCTTATTTTTTAAAGATTTTTTAATAAAGAAAATTACATTGGAATGACGGAAGGCAAAAATGAAACTAAAATCAGTGATGATTAGTAATTTCAAATTGAAAACTTTCCAGTCAATTTAAACTAGTTTTGATATACAGAAAAGTAGATTACTTATTGGAAATATTAAATTTAATCTGCTAGATTGAAATCAGAACTAAAATAAAAGCTTCAAAAAAGATTTTTCTTTACTAAAAATTAAGTTTAAATCTTAGGTATTGCAAATCTTTGGAGGTACCTAGTGTATAACTAATATATACATTAAGCACTACAAAAATGAATTTTTTGAAATTTCATAAAATTGAATAAGTGGAGGTAACAGATGTAAAAAAAAAAGTTTTTATCAAGATTTTTTGAAAGCAAAACATTTCTAAAATAATTTCATTCATTTGTGCATAAGACCTGAGTTTCATTAAAATACAATTGTTTGATTTTTGCAAGAATTTCCAAATCAAAAAAAAAAAAAAGAAAAAAAAAGCTAGCTTTCCTATATTAATTTTTGTCCCCCTCCCCTTGCTAACAAGAAAAACAAGATTTTAACTAAAATTTCAAACGTTCTTAAAAAGAATAAAAAAATATCATTTAATAATCAAAAAATCCTTTGGTCTTTCCTCTTCAATTAATAATAACAAACATTGTGAAGATAAAAATTTGGTTTTATTAAATTTTGTGACATTTTTTTAACCATGGTATGCTCATTTTTTAGCGAATCTGTGGAGGTACCTGTGGAATGGAAAACAGCTTCCTCCTGGAACAAAACGCACTTGTATGGGTTTTGTGTACAAGATACTGGGAAGAAAACATGGCTGATCCAAAAGATACAGTTTAAGAAAAAAATGGATCTCCTATCTCAGTGAATTTGCGAGATGAAAAAAAGACAAATTCAAGTCAAAGTATCCAAAAAAAAAAAAAAAAAAGATAGGTTGCAACTAGTACTCCAAACAGACATTTTTTTTGCAACAGTACCTATTTTTAACAAAAAATTTTGGAAACTGTATTTTATATATATATATATATACCAGTGAGCCTGGTTAGTAGATCTGATTAGCACAAATTATTTCACTTCTGTCCTACCATCCGATAAATTCCCCTGACGTAAGTTGTCGAGAGATTGACGTACATCAGTTAAACACTTCTCAATCAGGCCCCAAAAAACAAGCACCATGGTTGGAAAAGTCTCTCTTAAAAAATTTTCTGATAAAAAATTAAGTAATGTTTCTTTCAAATTACATTAAGTATAATTTTTAAATTTTCTAATTTTCCTAAAATAACGTGTGAAAAAAAAAGTATAATTGAATTTTAAAAGATTTTTAAACGGGATATTTGACTTTTTTGTTTCTAAAACTGTCAATAATGGCTGACATGATTGATTTTACGTCAATTTTGATGACTCAAAAAAAAATTAAGATTTTTAGCTAAAATTTCAGACGTTCTAGAAAGGATTAAAAAAATTTTAAAAATATTCAAAAAAATACTTTGGTCTTTCCTCTTAATAATGACATAAACTTTTAGATAATACAAATTTTTTTTAATCAAGTTTGGGAATTTTTTCATCAGGGTATGCTCTTTTTAGCAAAGTTTTGGGCATGCCTAAATTGTCTTAGTTTTATTCAGATGTTACAATTCAGAGCTGAATTTGGGGTAGCTGTGTATTTCAATTTTACAAAAAAAAAAAAAAAAATCGATGATTTGTATTCTTCAAAGTCTTCTGCTTTTAACTAATAATCATTAAGAGCCACGCCGTCGAATTTCTCGAGTTTTCATAAATACAAATATTTTTACCATGACTTTCTGAAAAAAAAAAATTCTAAAGTAAAATAATATCATTCATTTGTGAATAAGTTCTGAAAGTTTCATTAAAATCCGAGAATTATTTGATTTTTGTAAGAATTTCCAAATCAATGTGTTTTTCACCTGGAAAAAGGCGCTAAAACACTGATGGTAAAAAAAATAGATTTTTAAACAAAATTTCGAACGTACTAGAAAGGTTGATAAAAATATTAAAATAATCAAAAAATACTTTGATCTTTCCTCTTAATAATAAGCATTTTGACGATAAAACTTCATATTTTTAAGTTTGGGACCTTTCTTCATCATGTGAATTTGTGGAGCTCTCGTGGTGCAATGAGTTCCGAACGTCGACTTATTCTTCATTTTAGCATTCCGCCAGGTACTTTCGTTCGTTTGCATATGAGCTGATGTTTCTGGGTCAACGAAATTCATACTGTGATTTACACTACAATCAAATTATCAAATGAATATAATTGAGATCATCCTTCGAAGATGCATATCAGTTCCAACAATCCGACATAATCGTCGACGTAGTCCCAGGTAAAATACAGCTTCGGATTGTGGATTGTGTCCAGTATAATGTGGAGGCTGTTCTCTGGCAAATTAAACAAATTTTGATCTAAAATTTATAATTTCAAAAAAGTGCCAAAAAATT